ATTTATTGTCACATTCATGATGTTTCAGCTTTTGTACGCTCTTCAGGTGATAATTGTTGGTTTTTTTCATACCTTTATTTAGTGCACGCGGTTAGATCGTTATAATTCCACGTACAATGCCATTGGATTATCTCAGTTTCAGTTAATTCGCCTTGATTCGGAGAGAACAAAAACATGAAGAGTTGTCAAGGCGAATGAACCAAAAACTGAGATATCCAAAGGCACGGGATGTGGAATAGGAACGATCTACTCTCGGGGACTAAATAAAGGGTTCAGTTACAAATTCCAAGAAATATCACCTGAAGAAAACTGGAGCGTACAACGGCCGAAACATCGTGAATATGGCAGTAAAGATGAAAACAATATTCTGAACAATACCTCATCTCAGAAATATACACACATGAAGAAAGATTTCATAAATTTTAACCGAAAACAAAACTCGGTTAATGAATGCCAAATGTTTCATAATAGGGAAATGGTTAACATTATGATTACCAATACCATTACCAATACCATTACTATTTGAGTTTACTGTAAAGGCAATGTTTCTTGCACCGTCATTAAGTTACCAGTTTGTTACAGGAGCCATGTTGGCTGCAACGTTGACTCGTTTTTAATAAAGTAGAATAATTTTTGTGTAATCAGGGAGATATACCGGGTGTAACAGCAAAATTGTCCAGATGGTGTTACAACATTATTGTCCATCTCAAAAAATGTTCAATATCTAAAAAAAAAACCCACTAAAATGAGTTTCTTTTTTCCAGGTTTTCAGATCAGACGTTTAGCCATCTTGATACCCTTTTACGTAAGAATCACTGAAAAACCCTTTGAGTTATTCAGCTAGAAAGAGGACAGTTTAAAATTGTTTTGTGTCAGCCCCACTGTCTTCCCAGTTGAACAAAAGTAAGATGAAAAAGGTCATTCAGTATTCTGAAGGTCATTCAGTATACCTTTATACTCTGGCTTCCATCCTCAAAGTCCATTCAAGAACCATCAAGAGAATGGTGTATAAGTTTAAAAAAGAGGGAACAATAGAGAGGAAAACTGAACCATGAGGTCACAACAGGAAGAAAGATTATCATCATTTCTAAATACATTCATATTGCTCAAAGTAGAGTGCAATAGTGTTAAAAAAAACCTCAGAGAATTCCAGTAATATATCTTTAATCATTTCTAAGATACAATACTTTAAAGCTTAATCTAACAATTGGCTAATTTTGTATATATATATATATATATATATATATATATATATATATCAGTTATGAAAAACTTGGTAATCAGTATGGGTAGTCCCAAGGAGGATGAAATCCTGAGAGCTCAATGTAAATCCAGAGCTAATAATTTAAAGAAAAACAGACCACTTTAAGGTTCCATTATAATAACTTATTTCACCAGAGCCCTTTTAATGAATGCTGGATCATCAGATAACACTTACAAAAAATGAAATGAAAGATGAAATGAAAATTCACACTTTTGACGGGTAGTATTAAGTTTATGTAATTTAACAAAGAGGGTAGCGAGGAGTGGTGTGAGAGACATGGTCGAGTTTAGAGAGGGTTTATTTTAATATTTATATATATATATATATATATATATATATATATATATATATATATATATATATATAAAATCGGACTACAATGAAAACACAGAATTAAAAAAATAGCAGAAATCCAACCTACTAAAATCAAAAATTAACAAACTGATCACTGCTAATATATATCGAGAGAGAAAGAGAGAAAGAAAGAGAGAGTGTGTGTGTGAGAGAGAGAGAGAGACAGGGACAGAGAGAGAGAGAGAGAACTAGTCGGCATCACTGTATGCAAACGAAGTTACAGGTATTATATAAGAAGGCAATCTCCATTTAGACAGCTTCTTCCCCAAGAACTGTTACTTTGTAGAAAAAAAAGCTCTCTCGAGAGAACACTTCCATGACAGTTCTAATAATGGCCTTTTTTAAAGTCTAGGGTCAACTTATATCGATCCGACTTGTCCTCATAACAGTCTTACTTCCTCTTTACCTTACAATTTCACTAAGTAACACTCTAGGTTGAGTGTCTCTTGGGCCTTATATGGATGAACTATCAGTAAAAAAGAAAAGACTTTTCCTTCTCCAAGAGAGATGTCTTCATGAAAAATAGATAGTCTATTCATTATCTATCTATCTATCTATCTATCTATCTATTTATCTATCTATCTAAGTCTGTTCATTATCTATTTATCACAGTCTGTTCATTATCTATCTATCTTTCTATCTATCTAAGCCTGTTCATTATCTATCTATCTATCTATCTATCTATCTATCTATCTATCTAAGTCTCTTCATTATCTATCTATCTATCTATCTATCTGTTTTAGTCTATTCATTATGTATCAATCTACTTATATAAATCTGTTTATTTTCTATCTATCTATATCTATCTATCTAAGTCTGTTCATTTTCTATCTATCTATCTATCTATCTATCTATCTGTTTTCATTATCTATCTATCTCAGT